CCAGCTGAAGATGTTCCAGGATGTATCCGGGTAGCTTCCTGTTCCATGCTTTGTAGAGGAAGCACCATCTCCGTCGATGGTGGTGGTCAGGTAAATCGTGACCAAGTATTGCATTGCGAACGGCTACTGAACACGAACCGAACAGATGACTTCAAGCTCAAGTACTAGAATTTCGACAAGAATGGGGTACGTTGATCGTTTGCTTGGGACCAATAGGCTAATCAAATAGTGAGCCAATTTAAAATCGTTAGTTTCGTATTGATTGTTGATAGTATCATCATAGAGGTAACTCTAAGACCAGAAGGTCCCAAAGAAACGAGCTCAACTTTTTGACTCAGCTCTGGTACTATCTTCGGTCCCAAGCTATTCGATTCACCCCTCGAAACATAGGAAAATCCTCGGGAAAATCCACTAACCCCTCATTTTATCTGCCAAACTTTCATAGCGAATCAAAACAAACATAGTGTAGTACTAGAATTTCGTCTGGAAGTTACCTCTATGTTATAACCACCGACAAACCAACATGAAACTTAAACTTAACTATTGATCGAGAATCCATAACGGCGGATTCAAATGTGCAACGATCCCATCTGTCAAAACCATAGACATTTTTTTACCTAGATAATAATAATTTGCCCGGAATATATTAGACACGAACATTTTTTATCCGTGTTCATGGCTAGGATACACATTTTTCGCGAACATGGCGGCAGATGTCTGTTTTGTGCTTTGATCAGAAAGTTGATGGTCATTCATGTCGGTTTGTCGGTGTTATAACCATAGAGGTAACTCTAAGACCAGAAGGTCCCGAAATAACGTGCTCAACTTTTTGGCTCAGCTCTGGTACTCTCTTCGGTCCCAAGCTAATCGATTCACCCCTCGAAACATAGGAAAATCCACTAACCCCTCATTTTATCTGTCAAACTTTTATAGTGAATCAAAACAAACATAGTAGTATCAACAATCAATACAAAACTAACGATTTTAAATTGACTCACCACTTTAGTAGCCTATTGGTCCCAAGCAAACGATTAACGTACCCTATTCTAGTTGAAATTCTATTACTACACTATGTTTGTTTTGATTCGCTATGAAAGTTTGACAGATAACATCAGGGGTGTGTGGATTCATGCAGAACATGTAGGGGACCGTTGTTCTGGTACTGAGTGAGCCAAAAATAATAATGATTTTCTTCGGGACCCAGTGGTCTTAGAGTTACCTCTATGGTAGTATCATAGAGGTAACTCTAAGACTAGAAGGTCCCGAAATAACGTGCTCAACTTTTTGGCTCAGCTCTGGTACTCTCTTCGGTCCCAAGCTAATCGATTCACCCCTCGAAACATAGGAAAAACCAATAACCCCTCATTTTATCTGTCAAACTTTCATAGCGAATCAAAACAAACATTGTGTAGTGCTAGAATTTTGACTAGCATAGGATACGTTATTCGTTTGCTTGGGACCAATAGGCTAGTCAAGTAGTGAGCCAATTTAAAATCGTTAGTTTCGTATTGATTGTTGGTAGTACCATAGAGGTAACTCTAAGACCACTGGGTCCCGAAGAAAATCATTATTATTGTTGGCTCACTCAGTACCAGAACAACGGTCCCAAGCAGTCCCAAGCTATTTCACTCACCCCTGCATGTTCTGCATGAATCCACACACCCCTGATGTTATCTGTCAAACTTTCAGAGCGAATCAAAACAAACATAGTGTAGTAATAGAATTTCAACTAGAATAGGGTACGTTAATCGTTTGCTTGGGACCAATAGGCTACTAAAGTGGTGAGCCAATTTAAAATCGTTAGTTTCGTATTGATTGTTGGTAGTACCATAGAGGTAACTCTAAGACTAGTAGGTCCCGAAGAAACGTGCTCAGCTTTTTGGCTCAGCTCTGGTACTCTCTTCGGTCCCAAGCTTATCGATTCACCCCTCGAAACACAGGAAAAACCAATAACCCCTCATTTTATCTGTCAAACTTTCATAGCTAATCAAAACAAACATTGCGTAGTACTATAATTTCGACTAGAATGGGATACGTTAACCGTTTGCTTGGGACCAATAGGCTAGTCAAGTACACGAAAAGAAAAATCCATATTGAATGTATTAAGCAAACCACATAGATTTTTGCCATTGCTATTTTCGCATAGAGTGTATGCGCAATTCATATGACATGTATAAACCTTGTCAAAACAATTTCATAACATAGACTTATACATTTCAAGCGCAATCAACTATACTCTTTATCAGACGTCAAATAGTGTCTATTGAGCCGGCACATGAATACTATATCGAAGAAAGTAATAATTTTATAAATCTCGCACATAATATTCATGGTACGGTTTATGGTTGGGATATACGAGAGGATCAGGGAGAGGATTAATTAAATTGTTCCAACCACCAATTTTTTAATGTAAAAAAACGATTGAAAGCGAGAATTGGAAGTCCTAGCGTATCAAAAAACAGTTTAATTGTTTGCATCATTTATAATACTTAACATATAAAAGTTGGTACAGAGAAATATTATTTAATACTAGTTTTACAAAATCTTATTTATACATCCTTATATAAACATTCTGCAGTACACAGAAGTGAAGTTGGTGGTTAAACATTCATTGTATCGAAATCATGCTTTTTACGAAAATACATCTTACTATTAATGTTGTGTGGCATAATCGGTGGACCATCAATTTCATCGATATTGAGAATACTGTAAACGTGACTTTTTTCGAGTGTTTCATATGCTAAAAAATGTTCATCAAACAATCCTACGGTCCATGACAGTCCTACTATAAAAACGCTGACATCACAGATCAGAAGATCTATAATTTCGAATAATTGTATCCTTAGCTGCTCGGTTACTGTTACATAAGTGCCTATCTTATATATAGTACCTTTGTATTTTAGATGAGATGCTTCTTGTAAGTTTTTACCAAACTGGATTGGATATGGTGGAGGAATATTCTTGAAATAATCTTTCATCTCCAAATTACATGGTTTCACTGATCCTACTAACGAAGATTTAAAAAATACTTTATTAAAAACATCATGAGTGAATTGTAGAGCGGCTTTCATACATAGTGTATAACATATGTTTTTCCTCGATGAAATAACATGGGCATATTCCTTAAATGGTTTGTGCTTAGCTTCGTATCGATAGTTCATCATTGAAATAACACTACCACTCATATTAATAACTGAACTATAATGGCATAGAAAATGTTGTTTTGGTTTAAGGCGCAGATTAAACAGTGACTGATATAGTTCGTGATGTTCTGAGCAGAGGTGGCGCAATTCCTGTAAATCTATCTCATTGAACGATGGTGACAAAATTGTATCTGTAATGTTGACCAAAACTTTACAAAAACGCCAAACCGGATCTGTACTTGGAACGAAAGGGCCCAAGATGAACGTGAAATAATGAGTGAATGCTTTTAACTCACTAGCGGTTGCCCTGATAACAACACTTTTTGATTTTGTTTGCTGTGAAAACATCTCATTCAAGTCTGGCATTCTTACTAGGGAAGTGTCTAAAGCAATTTTACTGAACATGGTTTTATGAACATTGTTGAGAGAAATGTATCGCTTTTTAAAAATACAATAGTTCAAAATTTCAGTTAAACCAGCAGTACATACTCCACCGCTAAAAAAGTCATGCATCGCATCAACGTACAAATTCTCGACAACATGAAAGGAAGGTAATTGATTGAATATTGATGGCCCTTTAATTCCTGTCTCTGATGGTTTATTAAGATTCACGTCACAATTGTAAGATTCGACTGTCCGAAGACATTCAAAATGTTCTTTAGTATCAGTTTGACACTGATCACGTGGTCGTGAGCAAAATCTGCAGTAAAAATGTGCACTGAAAGTCATAATCTGGTGTAACTGGTGAATACCAAGGTTATCACCTTGTACTATTGATAACACAAATCTAACCTGGATTGTTTCATTGTCTATATGAAATGTAGTTCCATTTTCTTCAATGCTCTTAAACTTTTGAACTACTACGTTAAAAAGTTTACTGGTGCCTACTTCATTCATTTCTACTTTTCTTGTCATAGCAGCCACGAAAATGTTACATAGCTTTGAACGATATTGATCTGGAATAGTAGGTATCGAATAATATGTACCAGAGATTACATGTCTCTTATTGTGCGCACTTAGACAATCGTTCACTTCAAATTCATCTGAATATAAGGAAATGGGAATCAAAATTTCTCCTGGATACTTATTTTTAATTATTTTCCACATTTTTGCGTTAACAATATTACTTATAGCTGTTTTCTTCTCTAGAGTAATAGTATTAGAAATGATTTCTTTTAAAATGCGATCACAACTAAAAAATGTTTTTAATTGATGTTCAACATCCATCAAAACAATATGACCTTTTCCATTGTCAATTTCCTGGTCTTGACACAACTTAACAGATGTTTGATCTTTATCAATAGCAATTGTGGAGGGAAAACGGAAAATATCAAGCTTCTCTAAATACTTAAAAAATTTATAATCGGAGTCTATGAAATCGAACGGTTGTTTGAGTCGTTCCATGTATTTGTGCATTTCAAAATCAGTCTGCGGATTTCTGTCTCTGATTAAAGTTTCTTCTACCTTACTAACAATACTAGCATTTAGTTGACTTGCTTTTCTCTGAATGGTTATAACATCACTTCTTGAAATATTTGTTTCATTGTGTAATTCTAATGTAAAAGCAACTGCGGCCTTGTTAATATCTTCTAAATTTTTAGCAAGTGCAGATATTGTATTTTGCTGATGATCGGTTTCGTTATTTCCCGGTTTAAATGTTGAAAATGTTCCTAGTGAATTTTCAGGTGGTATGCAATTTGGCTGTGTTTCATTATCAGTACTTTCTAAACATGTATCCGGTAAAATGCTCTCCTCATCACGACTATCATGACGTATGCAATGACGCTTAAATGAATACCAATTAGAAGATTTCTGATTACATTCTGGGTATGTACAGACATAACGATAATTTACAGGAGTTTTGTGGTCGCTATGAAGATGTTCAATATAGTTACTGCTCGTTTCGAACGTTTGCAGACAACCTTCAATGAAGCAAGCAAACATGTTCAATTTATAAGATACGCCTTTAAACTATTAATACACTCGTACTGCTCCTGCACTGGAACGTTGTAGAAGAACGCGGATATAAAAAGCCAAACCAGTCTTGAAATACGAGAATGCTCCAGACCAAAAACTGCACAGAATTTAACCAGAACATCTATGGCTCTACTTGCACTATCGAATCGATAACTGAAGTCCTGGAAACGTACCTGAAACTCCCCTTCAAGAGAGTCAATACCATCGCCGATGAATATCAGTTTCGGAACCGGTTGAAATCCGTACTTAGAATAGTCTTCGTTGAATTTAGTGAAGACGCCAGCAGCCAAGTCGTTTGATGCCGCAAACAATATGATTTCTTCCTGAGCGGCCAAAATCGATGGCTTAAATTTTCGAGTTACCTTTGTTGGTTTTAGAACATTGTTCAGAAGCAGGAGAACGGCACAGGTTTTAACATCTAAATTAAAAGAATATAAGTAATTCACTTCGAATCAGGCCTAAATAAAAATAACAACAGGTCACTTACCTAAGTCAGATTCTGGAGATTTTAGGCATTCCAGAATTTTCTTTGAAAAATCGTCTTTGTATGGCCGATCTAGGTATTTCACCAGTTTTGGAAACGCCAAATTCCACTTCTTAACTCCATCGTCGATACCATACATCAACCGAAAATCAACGTCAATCTTCGAAGAGAATAGAAAACATATATGTTGTAATAGCAAAAAATATGTGTAATTTAACGAAACTTGTATAAGCACTTCCATACCTTGTTACATACTTATAATTAGACTACACTTCACGGCGAATGAGTATGACCCAAATTTGAGTTTAGTTCACTCATAATCGCCAAAAGTGCAGGAACTCAGCGATAAGTAAAATTTGTCTCGTGGTTTTCTGTGGAAAACCTAAAAAATATGCCGGAAAATGAGGAAATTGACGAAAATTTTATTCAGTCTCGGAGTAGTACCAATAGACTGAGTGAATCCAATCTTTACTTTTCTTGAATTCGGAAATTTTTCCCTGGAAAATCCTGGGAAAGCATGAGGCAAATTTACTCATCGTTGAGTTCCTGCACTTTTGGCGATTATGAGTGAACTAAACTCAAATTTGGGTTGTTCTCATTCGCCGTGTAGTGTGCAGTGAGAATAGCTGAATATTGCATTAGGTCCTAAGTAACATTGATCGATTCTCTTAATCGACTTTCTCTTTCGTTTATAACTTGAGCACAATGTGTCATAACCGTTTCTTTATCTGGTTGACGTATTAGATTAAAGAGCCTGAATTTATAAAGAGGCGACATTGTATCCATTTGACAGGTCTTCTGCTCGATTGGAATGACTTTTCCTATGACCTTGTCAGACAATCGATTGTTCCAATGTTGACATGTCGTCTCTTTATAAATTCAGGCTCTTTATATTAGATGTTACATAAAAGCTTCTTTTATCGATCTGTGAGCTGAAACTAAGTCGACGAAGAGAATCTGTCAATGTTACTTAGGACCTAATGCAATGTTCAGCTTGAAATAAAATAAATTCAGGCTCTTTAGTACGAAGGTGAGTTTTGTTTTTATTTTTATTAAAATTTGTAATGCCGGAATCGTTGAAGAGCTCTGGTACCAGCAGATTGGAATAGTTTATTGGATAGTTCTAGTTGCTGGTTTCTCTAGTAAGTTAAATAAATAGTTCTAATGTTTTTTAGCCGTTCGATTTTTCCTAACAGGCAGGTATTAAGTACTCTCACCTAAAAATCCAACAGTATCGGATAGTTTGTCTACAGTGCAACTACAGGAACGGAATGGAACGATGCCAACCAGGAACGTAGTACCACAGATCCCAGACAGTAAACAATCCATGCGTATGTTCCTGTGCTTCCAAATACAGCTTTGCCCCCGAAGAACTGCGATTGACTAGTTCTCTATTGACACTACTAACATACAACAGACTGACTGGTTGAAAACCCGCCGGGAAAAGCGGTGGGTAGAAATCAATGGCTAACGCGTTCTTCGGAGGATAACTGTAGTACATAAGTGACACAATGATTCCAATTTGGATAAACGGGATAAACTATACATAGGGGAAAAGTTGGCTTCGGCAATACCTTAACCTATTATCGTCAGGGGGTAAACAACGTCCTTGAGAGCTTAATTTTGGCATGTGGATACATTGTGTTTCAGAGCAACTATTTGCCAAATTTGAGTGCTCTAGGACTTTGTTTACCCCCCTGACGATAATAGGTTAAGGTATTGCCGAAGCCAACTTTTCCCCTACTAGTCTGAGCATAGATTGACGATCACAACTACCGTATCAGTTTGGTTCACGGCCAATCATACCAACTCAGCGACTGAGATTAATTGACTCAGAGAATTTTCTTTCCATACGAAATTTACTCAGATTTGGAATAAACTGCAGTTACTCATAGCTTGTGAGTAACTGCAGTTTTTTTTTCCAAATCTGAGTAAATTTCGTATGGAAAGAAAATTCTCTGAGTCAATTAATCTCAGTTGCTGAGTTGGTATGATTGGCCGTGTTGTTCACCTACCAGCAGCAGTACAGATTCAAGTTCTATAGGTAGTTATGTATCGATCAATAACAAGTCTGATGAGCCTTAAACGCTGCCCAGACTGGAGAGTTATAACATGTTATAACGGTTGTCAACTAATTGCAACACAGAAACCACCATCAAGATAGCGCTATAACATGTTATAACTCTGTAGTCTGAACGTACTATTACTCGGAACGTTAAGAATTACTTTAATGGTCAATTTCTCACGACTCACAGCACACCCACGCTGACTGACTACACCACCCGGTACATTAAAGTCTGCTCTATCAAGGGCCACCCACATTAGATCCATTTGCGTTGCGTTGACGTAATTTTGATAGTTAGACAATAGATTTAGCTGTCACTTTGCCGCCACGTGTCCGATCCGGATCTAATGTGCGTGGGCCTTCAGGGTGTTTTGTAGTTAGTTGCGTGGATATGTTGTCATTCATGAGAATTTGACGTTTCAAGATAGGCCGATGATATAATTGTCCTTCCTAATCAAATACCTAATCGTATTGTGGAAGTTAAAAAATTTGTGAAATTAAATAAATATATATTTATAAAATGATCGAATTTCATGTAAACTATACGGCTTTTAATTACTAAGAATAATCCGTAAGTTCCATCTAATCTAAAACTACTACATATATAATTAAAAAGAACCACATAAACTCACCGCTTGATATCCGTGCTCCTCCCGATATAGTTTGAAGTGCCTGTACAATTCATCTATGATTTTCTTGTTCCCAAGCTGCTTCTTACGAATGGGGTACGAAAGTTCCCATTTATCTAACGCTGTTGTCCACGGATTTCTATTCTGATCCAGCCACTGAATAGCTGCCTCAGCAGCGGGATCATTCTCAATAGCTTCCGGCTCCGATGTACTTTGGTGTCCGGCCAAATGTGCTTCCTCACGGAACTTCCTTTTTCCTGCTTTTTGCTTTAAGTTGACGATTTTATTAAACAGTTTGCCTCCTGGATTCTTTCTTCCACCGGCACGTGGGATGAAATATGTTTCCTAAACAAATAGAAACAACAATTTTAATAACTTGCATATAAAAAATGAATGACTTGTTCTCAAAGTTCCGAGCACCTTTTGAATACATTGCTGAAGTATTTTTTTTAGAAAAAAAAACCCGTGGCAAGAGTCAGGGGCCGAAGCCGTTCTCCACTATATTGGTTAATAATCGTACTTACAGTTTTTTCGTGTTTGAATAGTGCAACTATGCATTCCGAATACCATCGGAGAATATCCTCCTTGGCCTGTAGACCCACACTACAGTGGTACTCCACAATAATATGCACCAGTTCTCGTTGGCTATCGATGGAGAGTGGGCCGATTGATCCTCTTTTTATAATATTTTGGCCCGTTATGGTCTTTTTTAATAGCTCTTCCAGTTGCTGAGGACTAAGCTGTCGATACTGAAAAACGTTGCTTCCGAAATTGGAGAGACCTGAAACACCGCCTTCAATTTGCCTCAATGGCAAACGCTCCTTGACTTTATCATTTATCTCTGGTTTCGCATGACCATCTAGGACAGAATTCTCCTTTTCAATCTCTTCAATCTCAAAAACACCGTTAGGTTCAACTTGCTCCGATGCTTCACTCTCAACGAGATCGACTTCCTCAAACTCTAGAAATTGAAATCCCTGTAAAGCAAGTCTTTGGTTATTTTTTTATATATTGGCACATTAATGAGTTTTTACCTTATCCTGCCTCCATATAGCCAGTCGATTAAAAATTTCGGTGGTGTTCCAATCTTCCGGATTGAAAATTTGCTCCAGCTCGTCCTTACTGAGTGTTGACAGTTTCGCGGAATCAATGTCGTTTTCTTTAGACAAAAAAGAAGTGTTTTTTTGTATTTAAACAGTCATTAGCCTCGACTTCGGAGTATAGTGATTTATTTGAACATAATTTAATCCAACTCACCTATCAAACTTTGCAGAACTTCCACAGGCAATTGCAACTCATTCAACACCACAAACGAAATGCTTTCGAGCGCCATATTGAAAAAAAAATCAAAGCCAAACCACAATCAAAGTATAAATCAAACCATATAAATTTTAGCCATAAGACTAGCCTTATACTTTTGATTAGGAAAACAAATAAAAGATATGTGAAAGGTGAATGAATTATATGTTCAAGGTTTATAAAAAATATGGTTTGTCCCATGACAAGTATTTGACATTTGGATATAAACATTAAAAACTTAGCTTAATGAATGAAATAATTAATATTTTTTGAGTGTAGTGAGCCAATTTAAAATCGTTAGTTTCGTATTGATTGTTGGTAGTACCAACAATCAATATGAAACTAACGATTTTAAATTGGCGCACCACTTTAGTAGCCTATTGGTCCCAAGCAAACGATTAACGTACCCTATTCTAGTCGAAATTCTAGTACTACGCAATGTTTGTTTTGATTCGCTATGAAAGTTTGACAGATAAAATGAGGGGTAGTACCAGAGGTGAGCCAAAAAGTTGAGCACGTTTCTTCGGGACCTACTTGTCTTAGAGTTACCTCTATGGTAGTACTGGAATTTATACTAGTCGATTTGCTTGGGACCAATAGGCTAGTCAAGTAGTTAACCAATTTAAAATCTGTAGTTTCGTATTGATTGTTGTTATAACTCTGTAGTCTAAACGTATTATTATTTGTTGTCAACTTAAGATTTGGTAGTGTGCTGAACGCATTTTACCAGGGCTTTCTTGGAATGAAACGTAAGCCTTAGGTTACGTTCGCTTACGAAAAGCGCGATGAAATCTTGCGAATTTATACTGAAATCCTGCAAAATTATTTCGGCTGAAGACTGTGTGCGATCCTTTTGTCTTCAATAGGAATTTATTTGTCAGTTGCCGATTCATTAAATAATAAATATAAAAATGAATTTACCTGGTCAAACGACATTTAAACTGATTTCAACATATACCACGTGTCTGTGGGAACCCGCTCTTGTGATTTTCCTCCACCGAAACAGCCGCTTTCGGGTTGTGCTTGAAGTGAGCCCCCATGCCGCGCAACCAGGGTCGACTCTATTAGCTGTCAAGTAAGGCGGCACCCGGCGTGTGATTTTGACAGATCGTTCTGTGCTGTCTGCATGTGTGCGACGGTCGATTGTCACTCGTCGCCAGTTTTTTTTTCATCCACAGTGCGTTCGCCAAAAGCTATGAAGTGGAATGAAAGTCGGCTCTTGATGCATACTTTGTTGGTGATTTTCTTCGTTTTTCAACTGTTCAATTCGTCGATATTAGTGTCCTCCCCGGAGGAAACTGTGATAGAAGGTAAGTGCCGATGGAATTGGTTAAAGTCTTTCTACCTAGAGCAGAGGAAAGGTATTTTTCTTTATCAGCCGTGCATCTAGCAAGGGGTGACGTGTTTTGCAATTGTAAATATTTTCCTTACTCGACCCTACCTGGGCGAGAAAATGATAATCTAATTAGTCAGCAAGGTTGCCCTGTGCTTTTGTAACTGGAAATTATGATTACGGTTTCAGATTTCTTCATCTGTCGTTCCTGTGGCCATGACGTCAGTCTGTCGAATTTCGTACTAAACAAACACAGCCCACTGGCCCTCGGGTTCAGCAATCAGACGTTGTCTACCGGGAAGCAGGTTACCGTTCAGGAGGTTAAGAATACGTTGGGCATCCGTTTCAAGATAGTTATCGTTCAGCAGGCATATTGTGCGAAGATCGAGTCGGTATGCAGAGGGCTATTCCTGAGTAGAAGACTATCTAAATTGATTGTTTACTTAGAACGGTACAAATGTCTACACTGATAATCACTTCCTCCTTTTTCGTTTTAGTGGATTTCGTTACACTCGTGGTTCCCTGGTTACGCATGGAAGTTGTGTGTATGTCCTAAGTGTCGTACCCATCTAGGGTGGATGTTTGAGCCGACGGAAACTGCAACGTACGATCGTTATTTCCCAACCGAGAAAGGTTTCTACGCGTTGATCTACAACAATATCATATCGGAAAAATGTGAGTGGTTTGTCGTCTGAAAATCTCTATATTTTGCGCACTAACGATGGCATTTTTAGACGTCAACTCGTTGCTTATGCGAGAGAAGGCACTGCAGGAGATAGAAAACTAGAAACATGGTAGACCCAAAGAGACACATCAACGTCATCTGCGAGGAGGATCAGCTGTTCCTGAACGAATGTGAGGAGGAGTTCAAGGATCGCTTCACGGAAGACGACTCGGAATTTACTGCCTACTGTGCCCAGCAGTCTCGGCCTCCGCCGGTGTTGGAACCGTGGCAGAGCCGGAACTTCCAAGGTGGTTACGGAGGCGGTGGTGGCGGTAGTCGGGGACGATTCAACGATCGTGGACGCGGTGGTGGTGGTGGTCGGTATAATTCCCACAATTGGAACCGGGACTATCGGGATCGGCCGTACCAGCAGCATGGAAACCCATACAACAACCGTGGTGGGCGGGACAACAGCCGTTACAACTCGAACGTAGGTAGAAACTATTCGTAAGGCGTATAAGGCGCAGCTACAAAGCTACAGAGCAAAACGGATTTTCTTTTAATCATATGTGTGTGTGAACATAATATGTAGCTACATTCTTTTAGAGCAATTTCGAAAGATTGTAAATAAAGGCTGTAAATAAAACAGGACAGCCGCACGGTTGTTTTATTTGAAGGAATTATGTGTACCTTGCTCAATAATGCTTCCTATATTTTTGAGGACTCAGGCGTATACAATGTCCTCTATTTGTAACCCATTTGTTTTGCAAATGTATTCGCAGCTTCGTCCATGGTCAACTTTTTCTGTTCGCTTGCAAGTCGATCGGGGGTGAGTTGAATCAACTAACTTGTTCAGCCTTCGGAACTCTTCTTGAGAAAAAAAACATTACCCATTTTTGGGTAGGTTCACGTTTGACGGATATTGGTGTATTCTACCCAAAAATAAGTAGTTTTTAAATAGTGTGAAATTAACCCGTGAGGGAGCTAACTTGGCGTGCTCATTTCGATTGGAATGACAGCACGGTTTATCGCTGACAGCACCGACGCCGATATTTGCAAAAAAAAAGGTAGACAAATTTTTCCCACACAGGTTCTTTTCTTACTACGATCTCGTGCCGTAGTTGGTTTATTGTAAACGTTCAAGCCTCCAATCGAGAACCGTAGTCTCCCACGGCTCTTCGAATCACAGCTCGACCCGTCCATTAGTATTGCCGCGCATCCTTGCTCTTCTCTCTCAGTCTCAGCTCAGTAGCAGGAACCGAGCGATACTGGGGTTTGCTTGGGGGGGCTGGTACCGGAGCAATGGTAGTTGTTGTACCAGTGATGGGGGGGGGGGGGGTTTACCTTTTGGCATTATGTATACCTGGGTGACGCACCTGTCGTTAGAGGTGGACACGACAGAGGTATAGCAACCCGAACTGGAGGGTCACACCAGTCGACCGTGTGTGGAAACAGACTACCCGGAAAAAGGCCCGATTAAGAGAGGCATTTGTAACTGGAGAAGTTGATTTCAGTTCTAGCGATGGATACACATTAGATAGGGTTGGTCGATAATGAAGAACTTCTGCTCTACGGGTAGTCGTTCTAATCCAATCAACAACCTTGTCATAAAGAAGAGGAGTAAATGGAATGTCACATTACACAAAAAGATCAATAATACAGTCCAATTGGAATGATGCATTTCCATATGCATCCGTACATCACTAGAACTCAAATAAACGTTTGATACTATAAAAGCACCACTTCTAGCCTCATTCCTCTGGGGTAGTCTGTTTTCATACACGATCAAGCGGTGTAACCCACCAGTGCGGGTATCTGTTCTAATTTATTTGGAACTAAACCAATCCATTTGCTTGCCTCCCCCGGTGGTAAATGACCCATTACTGGAATGACAACGTCAGATTGTCATTGCCAGCGTTTTCCAATGAAGAAGAAGAAAACAACAGCAACAACACAACACAACAGCAACAACAACAACACACACAGTAATTAAAATTGGAGGGGACCCAATTGCGTTCGACTCTTGTAGAAGAACTCAATCGTTCCTGGAAGTCTTCTTGTTCTTAAACAAAAAACAGGAAAGCTTCCCACACATTTGCAAAGCGTGGACCTTGAGTCCTGTGAATGAACAACCCGGTATCTGTATGAAAAATATTCGACTACCTTTTTTTGTAGAGTTGAGCTTGATTTTTATTAAAAATCGTTTTTGGTATTTCAAGAGCCACATGTGAAAAGCGCATACAAGCTTTTTGTAAACAATCCTTCTTATGCCCTTTTCTCGCCAACCGAGGGTCGCCCACGCAAACCATCAATATCATCGGGAAGGAGAATGCTTCTCCTACCCGCTAATGTTGATGGTTTGCGTTGGTGTCATGTGGTTGGCGAGAAAAGGGCATAAGAAGGTTTGTTTATAAAAAGCTTGTATGCCCTTGTCACATGATGTTCTTGATTTGTTTTTTTTTAAATTGATTTAAAAGATATGTAATTGTCTATTTTGTATCGATCCATTCGACGTTTACGACTTTAAAAAATCGTACGGCGAGCCTTTAATGCACATTTCGTGGAAGTCAGTATGGATTTCAGCGCTTGAACCTATGAGCCCTATAGATACGAAGCATAGAGGTAACTCTAAGACTAGAAGGTCCCGAAATAACGTGCTCAACTTTTTGGCTCGGCTCTGGTACTATCTTCGGTCCCAAGCTAATCGATTCACCCCTCGAAACATAGGAAAAACCAATAACCCCTCATTTTATCTGTCAAACTTTCATAGCGAATCAAAACAAACATTGCGTAGTACTAGAATTTCGACTAGAATGGGGTACGTTAATCGTTTGCTTGGGACCAATAGGCTAGTCAAGTAGTGAGTCAATTTAAAATCGTTAGTTTCGTATTGATTGTTGTACGAAGGGAAGTGAATTTCCATTAGGGTAGATGAACCAGATGTGGAAAAACGTTTTTATCATGATGTTTTCCAATTATGGCCAATGGGAATCCCAGAGGACATAAATCGAACACACCATAATAAGAACTCGTAGCCATAACTGGTACAGTAGGGTGATTCATTTAAAAAAAAAGAGTTGGCAATCTTATAAGTCACCCAACCCCAAAATTTGAACCTGTGCAATGGGCCGTATGAATAAAAAGAGTTGACTTTACTTTCCCGTGCTTTTCTTACGGGAAAAGTAAAGTAAACGCTTTTATTCATACGACCTAATGTTAAAGGTTGATGAAGGTTTAGAAACCATGAAAATGGTTTGTAGTTTTTATGGGGATTATTGAGGTTTAAAAGATAAATTCTAATGGAGCTGCGGTTGTTTTGACCGCCAAGTTCAATCGCACTGGACTGTACTGAATATACATATGTATATTTACAGCCATTTCATAGCAAAACGATATAGTGGTTCTCAGAATTTCGTAAAAATTGGCAGCTTTGTTCCTTATCGAAAAATATTAGACTCGTATTTTTTTTATTTTCGCATTAGGGAGACCATTTTCCTGTTAGAGTGGTTCAAAAAATCGATTTTTTTTCTATTTTTTCCAAAAATGGCATTTTTTTAAAAATGCAAGGGGTAAGTCACTCTGCCACATTGTGTTAACACTCACAAAAACACACTTCAACACACTTAAAACACCCACAAACACCATTACGTTACATGATAAGCAAATTTTTAATCAATTCTGGAACCACTGCAAATACTGTTTACATTCGATTGTTATTTTGTTGTTGAGAAAAAAACGAGCAAAAAACCGCCGTACCATCCTGCCGGGAAAGAAAAACATTCTGGTTCTGGATTGAAATCCAAAGAAAAGGAAATCCGAAACCGGTTGGGATACACGAAAACAGCAGCATCAGGAGGAACAGATGCTAAAAAGGTAAATGTTTCGCATGAAAATCAAGACAAACGCAACGGAACAGTGTCTCATTGTGTATCATAGGTTCTCACTAGCAGCAACCCAATTACGGCCCCACCAATTAATTGCAAATTGTACCCATTGCTTGGTCCTTGTTCCCGGGTGGCACGTGCCTCTTCGTCTTCCTCCTGCAGCGGCAGGGCCTGTCTCACTCTGAAAGCCGGTGCACCGAGCTGCGGTCGTATTAGCTCCAAATAACCTTAACCTTCCCGTCGGTTTTGCTTTTTCATTAAACAAATAACAGCAAAGGAGTCGCAGAAGGCTGTCATTTTCAGCATTATGTTATGGTTGAGGATATGGTTGCCAGAAAGTATATTTTTTCGGTTGAAGTTTTGACTGCTCGGTCATCACGATGAAACACCCAGAAACACCTTCCGACACTCAAAAACACACATGAAACACAGTAAGCACAGACACAAGGTGGCAGAGTGACTTACCCCCTGGACAGAAGTGATAACAGAGAGATGCGAACAAAATCGCACGAACACAGCACGGAGGTATAAACACGAGCTACCTAAGCTCGTAGAGGTCAGAGATGATAGATTCTCTGCCTGATCGTCAAGCAGTTCAGTTCGGTGTTAGCTCGCGCTCTCGAGTTGTTTGAAAAGTTCGTGGCGATAGTGTTCGCGCTCTCTCTTTCGCGGTTTGTCGTGCGTGTGTGTGTGCCCCGTAATGATCGGTCGCGAAGCCCGGCGAAGGTCCAGAACCCCGGTGAAGGAAGCTCCGGTGTGCCTACCTCGAACAGGTTTGCTGTTCTCCCCATGGATGGGAATATCCAGCCAGCTGTGTTGGAAAAACGCAGCAAGAAGAGGAAGAAGAATCGAGGCCAGTCCGATGACACGATTGGTCGAGACGATGCCTCTGCGACGAACGCAGATTTCGGTGACGCTGCCGATAAAGAAAATGCTGCCGACACGAGCGCGGCAAGAGTGAAGCTACCTCCGCTGGTAGTGAAAAATGCCCATCTCAACAAGCTCATCGCGGATCTGGCGTCACTGGGCGTCAAAGCCGAATTCAAATTGGGCAGAGTCGGCACCAAGGTGGTGCTCCGTACCAAACCGGAGTATGACTTGGTCATCGCCCACCTGAGGACTTCCACGGTGGAATTCTTCACCCACGACATCCCCGGTGAGAAGCCATTCAAGGTCGTCATTAGGGGCCTACCAAACTTCGACCCGAAGTTTATCGAAGCTGAAATCAGAGACCGGTACAAGCTGGCCCCAAGTGCCGTCTATCGTATGACAAGGAAGGACGAAAATGTGAAGGCGTATCCGGATAGCCTTTTCCTGGTACACTTC